GGACAGACAGGTAAACTGGTGTGTAAGGACAGACAGGTAAACTGACGTGTAGAGACAGACAGGTAAACTGACGTGTAAGGACAGACAGGTAAACTGACGTTTAAGGACAGACAGGTAAACTGACGTTTAAGGACAGACAGGTAAACTGGTGTGTAAGGACAGACAGGTAAACTGGTGGGTAAGGACAGACAGGTAAACTGGTGGGTAAGGACAGACAGGTAAACTGGTGTGTAAGGACAGACAGGTAAACTGGTGTGTAAGGACAGACAGGTCTTGGAACTGGTGAACAGAAAGGTGTCTTACTGGGACCAATCTGGAGGTTGACAGGTTTGGACCTGAACTCTTGTCCGTCTCTCCATCCTGAACAGGTGTACTGTCCTTTGAAGGACGTCCTCAGGTCTTTTATCAGGACTCCTCTCCGATGGTCAAATACGACGTTCATACCTGGTGGCAGAGCTCTTTCCCTGTCTTCTGATTGGAGAGTGAGGTTTGTGAGGGACGGGTCCGTCAGCAGACACCTGAACAGGAAGTCATCCCCCTCTTTGAGGCTGGGTTGGCGACGAGGTGTGACGAACATGGTGGACGGGTCAGCTTGGTCTGACAGAGGTGCATTGTGGGAAATTTCAGCACAGTGAAGAGAAGAAGAAGAATTTCTGGTGAGTCACATTTAGCAACCTTTTGCTCAGACTTTTTAAGGAGGTGTGGCCTTTGGTCTTTTTACCTTTGATGTACAGGTGGATCCAGGTGTTCAGGTGGCTCAGACTCTGATTGGTGTACATACACAGGTAAGTACCAGTGTGTCTGGGATCTGCCTTGCTGACGTGCAGTGGATTCAAACGTTTGTCTGTGTACACTGGAATTATTGCAGTGCTGGACCAGTGGACTGATTTGTTACCATAGCAACCCAGCCTGAAGGCGGAGCCAGCACTCAGGACCACCTCGGATTGGTTCTGTTGGAAGGATGAGTTCAAATAAATTGATGGAGGTCCAGGGAGTTCTAAAACAAAGAGACAGTAAAGTTTTAGGGTAGGTACAGTCAGGGTTAGACTGCCATGTGTCCTAACAGACACACACGTCCTTATTTAATAAAACTGTAGAATATTAAACATAAAAAACACTAAGCATGATGTAAAAACACTAACAAAGTAACACAGTTGAAAATCTCTCAGATTCAACAAACAGTACTGTTACTACATGGATCTGTTGGAGTATGTGGAGGTTTGTACTGTATATCATCATGATCAGTCCTACAAAACTAAAAAAATGACTTATTTTTGTCATTAAAGATGCTTTGCTTCCAGTCCAGGAGGCTTTTAACTGTGAACTGGAGTTTGTGGTTGTCAGGTTAGAAACTGTGATGTAACCTTTATTTACCTGTAGATTTAAGCACTCATGCCTCACAGTGGAGATCTGTTGGGCTTTGTGCTAGTTTGGATCACAGAGACACATGTTCTGATCACATGCATGAAGCTGTAGATTCGACTGAAACTAACTGGAACTCAGGCTTAATGCTGCTCTGTAGCTTTTACAAAGTTAAACTCTGAAACCTTCTTTATTTAAAGTAGTTTTACTCTTTCTGTAAATGTTTTTCATCACCTCCCTGTCAAACCACCTGTCTTCTCTGTCTGACCATGTTGGTCCTCAGAAGACAGCTGAGACTGGTTTCCTGTGTTGAGCCATGCCTCTGTGGAGCAGCTGTTTAGTTTCTCCAATATAAAGTAAGAACATTTTATTTGTATAGAACTTTTCAAAGCTACAGATCACAAAGAGCAAAACTAAAATAAATACAAACACAATATAAGCATAAAATCAAACTGTGACTGATAAAACATTAAATATAACATTTAGCTCCCAGCGTCTGCACATTCCTCACTGCACTGAACTGCAGACACACTGCTCAGCTGGGCTTTGGGGGTTCTGGTCCTGGATAGACCAGCCTCTGTCTGAGGGTCTTGTTGGGTTTAAAATGTACCAGGCACTTGTCTTTGAATTGCAAAAAACCCAGATGGGAGGTCTTCAGCTATAGAACAGAAGTCCAGTTGTGTTGTTTTTATTCTGTTTGGAGCRTGTACTGGTTCTGAACTCCCAGCCTGAGGCTAACAGTTCATACTGCAGGTAGAAGGAGAGACGATCCAGTCTGAAAGAAAACTTCCATCCATCCATTAACTAAACCCGCCTCCTCCTTTCAGGATCACAGGGGTCACTGATGCCCATGTCCAGCAGTCACTGTATGACGGGAAGAGGACACCTGGACAAGTTCATCACAGGCAAGTTTCAGAAACACAAAAACCAACAGAGCAGCAAAGATTCAAAACAAACTTTATTTAAACCACAGAAGCAAAATCACAACTGATGTCAGTCAAACAGATTTATATTCAGTCAGGATCAAATCCCAATCAGTTCAATATAAGAAAAATATTCAAAAATATTAGTTAACAATTTATTTGATTCAATTTCAACACAAACAATAGAAAGAACTGATAACAAATTGAAGACCTGATTGGTTCCATGTGGAAGATCATTGGCTTACACTGAACCTAATAGGCTGGCACCATGTGACAAAGGATCTGATTGGCTGGTTGTAGAGGATTAGAGGATTTGATTGGCTGGTTGTAGAGGATTAGAGGATTTGATTGGCTGGTTGTAG